CCACAGAGTGTGGTTGTACACGTCAGGGCTCTGGCCCTGCTCTGACTTTGGCCTCTTTCCCCACAGCCTCTGGTGCTGCACCAGGACAGCAGCATCTTGGAGTCCAGGGACCTGCGTCTGGAGACACGCACCCTGTTCCGGTGAGAGGCCCAGTGGGCTCTGGGGAGGTGGGAGCCTTACACTGCACCTTTGCTGGGAGGGCAGACTTGGCTGCCCCCTGTTGGACTGTAGAGGGGTGGGGCAAGAAAGGACCCTTCCTTCTCAGCTGGGCACACCTCCTGAGACCACCGTGGGGAAGGGCTGCACTGCAGGCCCTGCCCTGTGGGAGGGCAGCCACACACGCTGCTCAGCTGCTGTCAAGCTCAAGAGGGGCCCTGCAGATTCCTTCCCAAGGAGGATAGTGCCTCACGTCCAAAGCTGTGCAGATGGGCTCGCGGGGCTCCCGGGCGGCTACCCGTGGGTATGCTCAAATTTGTAGTGAATATTTTTATGCCCACCTCCCAGGCTGGACCTCGTTCCTATTAACCGCTCAGTGGGACTCAAGGCCAAGCCCACCAAGCCTGTCACAGAGGTGCTGCGGCCTGTGGTGGCCAAGTACGGCCTAGACCTCAGCAGCCTGCTCGTGAGGCTGGTAAGTGTCTCCCAAGCCAAACGGTATTGGGCAGAAGGCAGCCACACTGCTCAGAGCAGGGCCTGGGTGGGACCACCCCCTCAGTTGGAGGACTTGGCCCTGGGCCACTTCTCATTCTGTGCGGTAGAAACTCCCTCATCAGTTTTTATACCTTGGTCATTCTAAAAACAATTGATACATGCGGTGTAGTTTTGGGCCTGAGAAACCAACCAACCCACACCCCTGAAGTCGACCCACCACCTGCAAATTGGGTCAGGTGACAGAGTGCCAATAGCACCACTTTATGGGCACCTCTGGGTGGGCACATCTCCTGACTCTGATCCACGCTTGGCACTTGAAGCTCAGAGCTGGCATTTGCAGCCAGGCTGCCCGTTCCTCATGTGAAGAAGGGTTAGGGAGGAAACAGGAAATCGCTGTTTAGGGGTGGAAAACAGGCCTTGGGAGCATCCTAGTCCCCTGAGGGCAATTCCAGACCAACAGGGGACTCTGGATTGTGGCTGCTGTGCTGGACCCTTCTAGGGGCTCAAGAGGCTAAGGCGCCAGCCACATACACTTGAGCTGGCAGGTTCGAATCCAGCCCAGGCCCGCCGATCAACATTGACCCCCGCTTTTGGCTTTTTTCATGCTGAGCACTCGGGCCCAGGCCTGGAGCCACACATGC